GAAATTTCAAAATTAAAATTTATTTGTTATACGTTCCATATTATCTAGAATTAGGAAATTTTAATTACTTTAGAATATTGTTGAATTAAAATTGTGCATTCGTTAGAATTTTAAAAAAATTTTTTAAATTCTAATTACTGTAAAAACTTTCTTAATTAAACCTTAACTCGAAAGAAAAAATAATTTGAAAAAATTTCTATTAGAAATAAACTCGAAATGAACAAAGTTGTTACAAACAAAGATAGAATAATTTTGAATCAATAATAAAACGAATAGAAAGTGATTCCTCAATTTTTAGCCGATATACAAAAAAAAAAAAAACTTTGGTTCGATCGTAGTTGATATACAGAGAACGAGTTTGAACTAAAGTTTGTGTATTGCGCTTACTATAGGTTTGTTCTTTTNTTTTTTTTTTTTTTTTACAAAATTGTATTGCTCATTATTACACGTAGAACTTTATTTATTTTTTTTTTATGTAGTAAAATTTAACGATTTTAAACGTTAATTTTGACACTTGTTATTCTATGAAAATGTGAATGAATATTTTAATTGATGTGGCTTTATATTAATCCACCGCATCATTGCAATCTTTCAATGACTCCACTAATTGGTTAATCTTCGAAGTTCAACGAAATATACCAAATGATAATTATATTATATTTTGATATTACAGTCTCTCTTTATAATATGAATATCCCTAAAAATTATATAATCTCGTCGAAAAGAAAAATTTCAAACGAATGTAATCAAAATTACGTCCAAAAACAAAAAGTTTCACAAAATTCGCAAAATATATTCCAACGAATTACTCGTTCTACAAAAGCTGCCATAACCTCGTCCAAAAGAAAAAAAAATTCCATCCAAACGAATTAATTCGAAAAATTACACAAAAACAAAAAATTCCATAAAACTAATTCCATAAAACATCTACTACTAATATTCCCAAAAACTGTACAATCTTCGAAATCTCACGCGTCCGACGACAAATTATTGCCGTTCGAACATCGAGCGAATTTGAAAGAAAAAGAAAGAACGCGGAATCGAAAAATACGAAAAAAAAAAAAAAAAAAAAAAAATATTTCCTCTCTAAACCCGAAATCAAAGAAAAGAGAGAGAAACGCAAGACGTTTGTTATTCGATCACCAACACGAGGATATCGATTTTCAAGACCATCTAAACTTTCCAAAGCAGAAGTTAATTACTTCCTCGAGTTAATTATCGCGACTATCAAGCCCATCGTAAATAAGAAGGAATTGTTTCTTCCTTCCTTCCTTCCTTCCTCCTCCTTTCTTCTTCCCCCTCTTCGTTCTTTTATATCATTTCCTCTCTCCCTTCCATTCGTTTTTCTCTCCTTGTATCGTGCAAATTTTCAACGGAACGTAGCCGGTTCTGCCCCGGTTACAACGGCAGGAACGATGCTGGTACAACCGGGTACGAATTGGGGAAACAGCCAGCAGCTATTGATTTTTAATATCAGCCTAGTTCTGTGCCAGGTTCACGCGGGTACCTATCACGCACCAACCACGTATCGAACACTTTTTCTCCCTTTTTCTCGCTATAACTAACTTTTTCTTTTTTTCTTTTTTTTTTTTCTATTGATAACGCGAGAGAGAGAGAGAGAGAGAGAAAGAGAAAATCATTCGATCGATCGAGAAATATTTTTCACGGTGTGAAAAACAAAAGGAGGGATGGGGAATGACGATATAAATTAAAGAAATATCGTTGGAAATGTTTTAAATTGGGACACGAGTTTGTTGCGATATTTTTTTGTTTTCGTCTCTCTCTCTCTCTCTCTCTCTCTCTCTCTCTCTCTCTCTCTCTCTCTCTCTCTCTCTCTCTCTCTCTCTGAGATGAAAAAAATTTAGTAAGAAGATTTTTGATATTGTGAGAAATTTTTGATAATGGAACTCAGTTTTTGTAAAAAAAATATTTTGTAAAGATTTTAAACGAGAACTTGAGAAGTTTTTAATTTTTAATTTTGTAATTGATCGTGATGCGTTCGTTGGAAGAGATAAGGATTGGAGAATTGAGAATTTTGATTATTTCAGTATTGCGAGAAATTTTGGATATTTTGGAGATCGCGATGCGTTGTACGAAAGCTGAAGATTTTAGAAAATGTGAAAACTTTTAGTTTTATGGAAATTGATGAAGAAAGAACATGTTTCTTTGAAGAACACGTTTTCTTGAATTAATTCGGTTTGAGAAGAGAAATCTGTTTTCTTTAAAATTCTTAGATTAATTTATTAATGATTATTTATAACAATCCTCGATTCAATATCAATAATAATCGTATCGAACGAAAGTTCAAAATATCAAAGATGTGCAATAATCTTTTTTTCTTATCGAATTTAAAAATAGAATAGAATCCAATGGGGGAAAAAGAAGTGGATGGAAAGCTTTCGTCGATGGAAGCTTTTTCGTCTTCGAATCAATGGCGCCGTTAATTTGAAAATCTTACATCTAGCTTAATCGTCCGATCGTCGAAATAATTGCGCGGGATAAAACAAATCTCCAATTAAAACGATCTATACTCCAAATGGAATAATTCCATTCCGTATCGTTTCGCAATTAGATTCGATTATTCGACCGATTCCGACAATTTCGTCGAAAGGAAAAAAAAAAAAAAAAAAAGAGAAAAAAGAGAAAAAGAGAGAAAATATCGAAGAGACAGAAAAATTTAAAAAAAAAAAAACCGTTCTCTCCTTTCCCTTTTTGAGAAGAGATATTAAACAAAGATGGACAGGGGTACGATTTACTAAAAGGCGATTCGTAATATTGTACGAATAAATATTGACGTTTATTTAATTCTTTAATCCCAAAAGAGGGGAAGCATCCGTTTCCAACCGGTGAAAACCAGCCATTTCAGCCGCTTGTAAATACCACTATTTTCCTCCGGTGGAAATAAAAATGTTCCACGGAATCCACTTGACGTGATAATGAGGCGGAAGCTCGGCTAAATAGAGAATATTTCACTCGCCGACTTCGCATTCTGTGCTTTCACCAGAACAGAGTTTCTATAGCGACTCGAGATTTTCCTAATTCCGTTTCTGTCCCGTGACATTCCGTTGTGTGTGTGTGAGAAAGAGAGAGAGAGAGAGAGAGAGAGAGAGAGAATTCGTATAAAAAGAAAATATATGGAATCGTGTTCGAATCGAAAGGATATAAAGGATACACGCGAAAATATTTTCGTTTTCGAATCCATCCATCGAGATTTCTTCTTTTTCGAGTACATGCAATTCAATTCTGATCGTATTTATCGCATTGGAAAAAATAAACTTTAGATATTTTTGTTGGAAAATTTCTTCTTCCCATTCGAAAATATTCGATACCTTTCAAAGATTTATCGAGTATATATTACGCAAAATTTCTTTCTCGAAAATTGTCTTTTCTTCGTATTTTTTTTTTTTTTTTTTTT